GAGCTGGACTGATTCTGAATTGTGCACGGTTCTGCAGCGTGCAGTTTTTGATACCATGCTCCTAGATCAATCCAAACAGGAACGATGAAACACCCCCGGAACTCGAGTACACGTTTGCAAATTGTCCAGTTGGCTTCCTGTATCCCGTAACTCCCCCCCACACCCCGAAAAAAACCAACCTCAATCGTTTTGTATAAGTTTGTGCATTTGGTTGTGTATTTCTTACTGTTCCACACCGCATCTGTTCATAACATTCGTTAGATGCGAAAATAGACAACACCATCTAACCGACGTGCTATTCATGGATCCATTTTTGAATATGTTCAGTTCAGATGAGTAAGTTCAATATTTGTAAGAAATGTGTTGTGTCTGATCCCAAAAGAAGTTTCCAAACTATGCAGTTAGAATACGTGTAAAACAGTGCGTACGCCTATATACTGGTATTGACCAAGTTCATGCGACACCCTGTCTTTTATCACATTCAAATGTGATGGGAGGAATAATTGTTCCTCCCGACGCTTAGTGTTCCGAGCCTCATTCAGTTTTCAGTTTGTACAACCATTAACTATGCACTTACATGGCGTCCAGCGCAGTGAAGAGGCTGGAGGTTTCCATGTTACGTGGTGTCGTTTCTTGTGCGAGAAGTTCGTGCACAGAGTTGAAGTAGGCGATCTCCGTTGTCCGTCCGGTTTGCTGGGATTGCTTGTGGTCTGCCTCATTCACGGTATTGAATATGTTATTGCACCAAATCAGACGCAACAAATCCCTAAGAACATCCACTTGTCTTTGCTTTCATTAGCCGAATACCGTTAACATCTAAGATTTCTCGATTTTGACGATGATTGTTGGTGCATCAGTTGTAAAGTAACACAGCCACAGTAAAAAAATCTACCCAAAATTTATTTGTGAAAATAACTCACAGACTTCATGCAGGCATTGTACGTTCATTTCGTCCTTCCTCATTTTTAGCACTGTAGGCGGTCTCATTTGTATGCAGTCCACTGAGTTGACCGTCCAACAGAATTTGCCAGTTTCCTCTAATACATGCCACACCCTAACCACTGATGACCACTGTCGTGTTAGCTAACTTATTTCCGTTTCTAACATCAGGAAAAGTTTTCGATTATATTTAAATCCCAACTGCTGGGCGGTGATTGAATGAAATTCGACATTGGTCTTGGTCCATCCTGAAACGGCATAGATGTGAAAAAATTGTATTTCATGAGTTCGAACCGTTTTATACTAGCAACCTAAAACGAGAAGATTTATAAACCATCATCTGTTAAAAAATGTCTTCCGTGAATGGATTCTGAGTGACAATTATCGAAAACTTGCCTTATCAATGCAAGAAATTTTGCGATATCCATATCGATGTGTACAGGAGACCAATCAGAAAGCTCTCAGCATTCACGTCCCTCCCAACTCGTTAAGCGGGATGGATATTGACTTCTTTTAACAGATAAAACAAAATTCATTGGAAATCTAGGCCAGCAGATCAGCTTTCTCCGTCTACTGAATTACTGGTTGGCTACCGGTGAGATAAACCTGTTGCGAAATGAATGGGTGATGCAAGTGGAATTTGTTGGTGAAATCAAAACGTGCTATGCTTTGTTGGGCGTTCACTAATGGCTTAGTGTCAGGCCGCCTCAGCTGCATTTCAACTTGATTTATCATTTTCCAAACGGTAGCATGAGGAAAATATGACTATATATATATATATGTATATATATATATATAACACAAATCTTTGCAGATACGGCGCCAAAATGGCTAATCCACCTGGACTAATCTCCATATTGGTTGTGTGCAACTTTTCTCCTCTAAGGTCAAATCAAACCATCGCCTTGCTTCGATGTGGTCGGTTTTCTCTCTCTTGGTTTATGTCTTGATGGAGAAATTTCGTTGATTGTGCAACAAGTTGGGCTTGTGTTCATATCGGAGCACTTGCACTAGTCAAGAACTGAATCATCGAATTTATATGCCTTTCGGATAAGTTAGCTTTCGGCTTCAACTATATACCAAAATCTCTTGAATGTTTCATCCGGCTTGGGTGTGGTAACACTAAGAAACGCTTATTCAGCAATCCGCACACCTCAAAGTCAATTTTTGTTTCCTGGAGTATACTTTCAACTAGTTTAGTATTAGGGATAATGCGTGAGTAGTTTGTAGCCAAATCAGCAATTTTTTTAGCTAGAATATTTTCAATAATTGGTTTACTTACCGTACAGCGAAAAAAGAGATAAGCAAATTAGAATACTTGTGTTCAGCTTAATAAACATTCTCATGAAACAAGAATCATTCATTTAAAAGAATGAAGTTCCACGATACTTTGCATAAAATATTTTTAAAATCTGAGCTATAACTTTCGAACTACTACAGATTTTATCGCAACACTCAAGATCGCGCAAATTCAAACAGGGATAGAAGAGAACTTCAAAGATATAAGTCAGGAATAAATACACTTTACCCATAGCCATCAACATATAAGTACAATATTGTAAACCGATATATATATATATATATATATATATGCTTCTGCGATGGTTCACATTTAGGATGTGGACGTTGTTGTCTGACTAGAAAAAAATTTCCTTGGAAGCACTCGACCGGTTCCGCGATCAAGCCGCTCGTCAGGCATGCCTATCCCTTACTCTTTTGTCAGTTCATTCATATAATGGTACCCAGAATGTCTTATTGACAAAGATATCTCATTTGAAACCCGGTAAATTTATCTGGATAACCGTTTCAGAACTAGTCCATTTATGGATCAATATTGAGTTGATGTTTTGTAAATGGGTTAGATGCTACTAGCCGCAACAAATTTGGCTTAATCGTCTTTGTAGAGTATTTTACAATATGTGCTGAGCATTTCCAATAAGGCTTGGTAACAAAAGAAAAGCTGGAAACCCTATCAGATTCTTATTTACCACCTGGGATGACCTAGGGTTTTTCCGTTGTTGGATTCACTGCTGCCATTTAATCACGGTTGGAAGGGAATCGACACTGTGGGGATCACAATAGCAAACTTTTTCTATTTTCACCGTACAACTTTGTACATGTCCATCGAAATTCCGATTCAGAACTTGTGTTCCATTTATCCTCCTCATTAATTTCCTGAACAACAGAACAAACGAGAACAATTTCACTCATTAGGAAACATAAAAATGGAAAAATTTGAGGTTTTCAAATCTTCTGGTGTATCCCACATCGGATGGTCGGGAGCTTTAGCTCGTATTATTGTTGTTTTATCTTTTGAGACGGTTTTGGACTGAAATGGACGCATATCCATAGGGTAATTTTCTGTGGCCTGTTTCGTGAAGCGAACAGTCTTCCGTAGTGGAGCTATCGGAGTAATCCATAAGTTTTGCGATTCAGCGTCCATCCAACTTTCCTCGAAATTGGACTCAAACGATGGAATTTCCTGAAGTGATAAATTTAATCTTCGCGGCGGTAACAACTGGTCATTCAACTGAATTTCTTGTGACTCCTCGTTGAGTTCTTGCAACCGACGTAAATGTGTTTGTCTTTCCAATTCAAACAGACCTGGTCCCTGAACTCGGGGTGCATTCGTAAGTTTACTGATTGTTCGATCAATATGTGGGCTTTTCATACACTGTGTTAATAGTTCATTCCTCGGCGGTGAGTTGTTGTAAAGTTCCAAGGTCAACAGGTCCCAGGTACTTGGCCCCAACTCAACACGTTCGCGGTCACCGTATGACGAAGAATGAGAAGTGGCATTTTGTCTTGGTTGAACCAAAGCTGCATTGGCCTTCAGTTTATCCGTGAATGAATCTTTTAATTCAGCGTGCATTGAAGTCAGCTATCGAATGGAAAATACAGATAGATCTAAGAAACAGAGGAAGTGAATGATATGCATCTCTACGAGGAGCTTCTAATACAGGGAAAAAGTACACACCACCGAGTAGTTACTTAGAATGTCATTTTTGACACATCTTAAGAAAGCCCACTGTCAGCCTTCACCCATTTTACTGACAGTTGCAATGCCTGAGAGCAGTATGCTAAGGATTAGGAAACCTTAACCATGCGGGAATATTCTGTTGGTCCTACTTCTCCTCTTCTTTTCTCTTTTCGAAGGCATTTTGCTTTCATCAGGCTTGTGGACCTTATCTAGCTACAGGTATCTATACTTAGAAAAAAATGAAATTGTGTTTTTAAATTACCTATCTTTTAAATTTGTGTTTGCTTTTTTGTCCAGTTATGAAATAATAATAGCAATCACAGGACACTCATACCTGAATTCTCCTGATTACTACTCACCCCATGATCCAAAATGTCCCAAACCTTACGAATACGTTTTTTCATTGGTGAATGCGAATGCTGTCGAGTTTGTTTCGGTGATGGAGAATGATCCTTTTGTTTAAGTTCTTTCAATTTTTCTGTTTGATCTTTGGCCGCACCGAAATTCCCTGCACGAACGGGCCACGCGATTGGCGCATTAAGAGCCACCTTTGATGTATCTAGTCCAAGATTAGCAAACAATTCATCCAGATCGACGTTGGCTTTTTTCTTGGCTTCACGCAGCCGTTCTCGTGCTTTTCGGAAAGTGAATTTGGGCTGGTATTGTTCACCTGATGTGCCTTTACCAGTCAGGTTAGGAGGAGGTTCATCAAAAGTGGACCAGATTGGACGTAAACGGTGCAGCAGCCACTCAGGTAGGTACATTGAATGAAAATCTTCCAAGTTCAGGTCGGCGTACGTAACTGGCTGTTTCTTTTCTATTTGATGTGATGTCTTTGTGGAATTCACGAGGTATTTATATTGGTTATTTATTGGATTCGCGATCTTTGGTTGTGTTTTCCTAAAGCGCAATGAAGTGGAAAGATTGAGTAAACGGTTTAATCTCCGATTGGCTAAAGAAGCAATGATAATATCAACGATGTCAGCAGTAAAACTAAAACTAAACTAAATTTTGTGATTCTGTTCACGAGGAATTTGATGAAACTTCGATGTTGTTCGTTTGCACAAGTGTTTGGCATTCCAGAACTATAACCTCTCACTTTCGTGTTTGTATCCTAGAGGGTTATGCGTACGCGCCATACTTATCACAATCGAGATTGAGCTTTGGCTGGGTTAGACGTTTACTGCAATCACTGTATTGTCACCAGCGTGCTTTGGACCCTGTGATCCGAGATTCGAGCCCCGCCACGGCCACCCGACTTTGGTGGTAAGTAGCTCTGCTGTTGCCTAACCTATCGGAGCCATTCCAAGTCCCGGGGCTTAAGTTGCCGGTTTCCACCACTGAACAGCAGGTCCTCGTGACTATGGGGGTCGCCCTGTCTACTGTTCATCACACTAAAGTGTGTAATAAAAAAGATGATAAGCGAAGCACTAATGCTTAGATGGAAGAGCGGTACGCTGAAGGCAAAGAACCACACCACATTTTGAACGTGAGCTGAAAACCTGGGAAGGTCTACCCAACTGCCTCAAGCTCGTTGGACATAATTCACTGGGCAAATCGATCGCGCTAAGTGTGTTTCGAACCCGTGAGATCACACACTGAATCAAATACCCAACAGTAATGCATGGGTCCGAATAAACATCACCATTGCATAAAATACCGAGTGAAAGGTATGTACAAAAAGGTCACTTATTGAGGTGGAAAAAGTACGCAATCTCTGGGGATACCCAATTTTATGAGATTTATTTTCTTATCAGTATTACGCAGATCCACTTTACTTTTGATGATAGCCAGACTCTTAAGGATATGGTGTGCTTTTTAGGGAACTTCCTCTATTGCTCAAAACAATTTCCTAATGTACAGTGTTTTTTCAAGTTACAAATTGTTTGATATTTGTACCCTCATCGTTCACGTGTACAATATGCGGAAAGTAAATGGAAATACTTATGTGATGCGGACAAGAAGATGGCTGAAGCAATATGAACGAATAAGAATCGGTCGATAAATCTAATTCAAGTCAATAGGCGTTTTCTTCAGAAGTTCAGCAACTTATACTGTGAATAAATATCGAGATAAGCAAAATTTGCCAATGTCTCAGTGTTCAGTTGAAGCTTTTAATCTGAAAGCATTTTTATCAGTCCGGCTAAAGCCAGGAGTGATATCGGTGCGATTACAAAGCAATGCTGAGAATCAAAATTATCTTCCATAAGTAACTGCCAGTCAGATATGAATTATTCATCCAACCTAATTGGTTTGTTGCAAGTCAACCCGTAAACTGCAGGGAAGATCCGATTTCGTTGAAGGCTTTCGATTAGAGTTAACAAGTAGTCAACTGTGTCCCTCAGTTGTTGTTGTTGTTGGGCTAAATGCGAACTGACGACGACGTTTGAACAAACATTAATTGACAATTCGGTTCAACCCTGATAGGAGCTGACTGGCACAGTGATAACACACGCCTTCCATGTGATGGATCCGAACGGGACGGTGGATATGATCTACTGATGAGCGAAACTCGAGTTTAATGCTTCCAAGTTGACTGGAAGAACTGAGGATTTTGAGTAAACGTGAAGTCTGAAGGAGGTCAGTTTAAATCAGAGTAAAAAAATAGTTATGTGCCCTCTCTTCCCAGCTGCGAGCTTTCAAATCTTCTCATCGAAAATAGATAACGCCGAGTTTATCATGTGCGTTCACTATCTTCTTTATGCCGAATTTTAGGGGGAAAAAATGCAGCAATCGAACTGACAAAGCCATCTCGTGAATTATTCTTTCACTTTTACGATTCTCGAGGAAAAAAACAAACAGTAAATTGCTGTTCTTTATGTGAAATCCGGATAAGAAAGCACCTACCGAAAAACAAACTTTGACCACTTCCCACCAGTCGGTTGAAGAGGCAATGTGAGTCTTGTCTCATGCTGTGAGTTGCGTCCAATTTGTCGAATGTGTTTCGCAACCGCACTGGAACAATCGAGAACATCTTTTTCTGCGACTGAAACGATTGAAGTAAAATGCCCATGATGAAGCTGCAGTTCAAACTTTGTGCGATGGGTAACGATTCAGGCGAAAAAAATCACAAGGTAACATTATTCAAGGATATAGTAATAATTATAGTACTTTAATTATTTTTTGTGGAGGTAGAAGCACTCATTCGAGGAGGTGACTGGGAATACAACGAAAATAGGAATTATGCGACGCTTGTAGTATTCAAACCCACGACCTATGGGGTAAATTATTGATTTGACCTCGGTCTATTTAGGTAAGTCTTCTCTTAGGCCTGCTCAAGGCAAGATAAATTTGCATAAACTGTGGACTACCACGGAGCGAAGTAGCTAAAAACAAGCAGTAGAGATACTAACACATCGTAGATTTCCTGTTTTTTATCCGCTTGCACCAGTCGATGAATGGTAATTTGGCAAATGTCAAATCAAGTCTGAGTTGAGAACATAATGGTTACGGGGATATCCCGATATCCGAACGACAAATGAGACTCGGCCATTCCGTTTCCTAGTCGGGGACATCTTGGTCAACCTCAGAATTGACTAAGTACGCTGGATGTCAGGGAGCCACTATGCTCCCTTGAATCTACTTTGTTCTGGGATAACCAATCAGAACAACAACAGGCAGGTTCAGGGGATTGGCCAGAACCGCCAACCAATCAAGATGGTTGACAGCAATCCAGTCAACCAATCGCTTGATATATGCATTCACCACCCTCCCCCTCTTTCCTACATTGCAGAATAGATGAGTTCCCACACGCTTCCAGCTGTGTTCTATTCCACTATCTGTGGAGTTCTTATCTGGAAGAAAAAACGTTACCGGAAGACATTCCTTTGAGAATCCAGTTCCGAGTTAAATCCTAGTTAATATGACTAAGTGTCATAAACAGTGGTTTCCGTGCGTTTATTTTATAACCAGGTCTAGTGTACTTGATTTTCCTTTTGATTCGAATGGATCCCGGTTAACAGCTGACTTTGCGCCGTACGTCTGGATGGTTCAGTGCGCATCAATAGCTACAGAACGAAGCGTCGATGCTTATTCGTCGTATCGGCGTATGCACCGACCGATTGCAGTATACCTGATATCAAGGATGAATTCTACAAGGACCTCTCTCTACTGCTCCAAAGCGCTTGGTCAACGGACATCGTGGTGGTCCCGAAAAGCGGACCGATAATCAACGCACCAGCGAACAACACACTGAACCGAAGTTCAAAGGCCTTGCGTGACAGGTCTCCAGAAGCTCGCACACGGGTGCTTCGTTCACGCTCCCGCGTTGGATTTACGCCCCACTGCCTTGTGGGTCACACTCTTGAGTCAAAGGCTCCGGTTAGGGTTCCCAAAGAAAAACCCCTTCGTCGGTGTGGGCTACCGCGAAGTATGCCGTGCCCTAAAGTCTTA